TGTGGTATAATTAACTTTTTTCATGAAATATTAGTTAAAGCATAATTTTGAATTTTCCTTTTCATAAATGTAACACATCATTTCAATCATGCATATAATGTGTTAGAAGAAGGAATGTAGTATAATTAACTTTTTTCATGAAATATTAGTTAAAGCATAATTTTGAATTTTCCTTTTCATAAATGTAACACATCATTTCAATCATGCATATAATGTGTTAGAAGAAGGAATGTAGTATAATTAACTTTTTTCATGAAATATTAGTTAAAGCATAATTTTGAATTCACCTTTTCATAAATGTAACACATCATTTAAAACATGCATACAATGTGTTGAAAGAAAAATGTAGTATAATTAAGTTTTTTCATGAGATCCTTGAAAATGTTTTCAAGACAATGCCCATATTTATAGATAACTTACGAAATAGAATATTTCCCATATCTTAAAAATAGCATGCAGTCTTCAGACAAAAAGTTTAATTAACTTAACTTTACATTTTCTGTGATCATTCATTGAAAAGAAAAGTGTTCAAACTTTGAACAGCAAGAGATTAAAATATGGAACCTATAAATGTGTAAAATTTTATTTTCAGACTGGTGAATATTATTAATTTCTTTTTTAAAATTTATATGGTAGTCCTGAAAAGGACTATTTCAATATGAGAGTTAAATAATAATTTGACTCTCGAAGTTTTATATTTAATGAAAAATAAAACTACTCGTGATGCTTACTTAGCGGCTTTCTTAGTAGCAGTTGGTTTCTTTGCAGCTGAAACTTTCTTCGTTGTTGCTTTTTTTGATGTTGCAACTTTTTTTGGAGCTGCTGCCTTCTTCGGTTTTGCTGCTGCTTTCGGCTTGGCTGACACATTCTTTGGTGGCTTAGCAACGGCTGGTTTCTTTGCAGATTTGGCCACTGGCTTCTTGATTTTTGTAGGACTGCCAGCTGCTTTTGGTTTTTTGGCCACAGACTTCTTAGCTAATGTCTTTTTCTTCTCGCCAGCAGCTTTTTTAGGTTTAACAGATTTTGGTTTCACTGTTTTTGGTTTTTTCGGTGCAGCTTCTTTCTTCGAAGCAGCAGGAAGTTTGAAAGATCCTGAAGCACCTTTTCCTTTCGTTTGAAGCAATTGACCTTTTGCGACAGCAGATTTTAAATACTTTTTAATGAAAGGAGCTAACTTCTCAACATCAACTTTATATTGAGCAGCCAAGTATTTTTTGATTGCTTGCAATGATGAGCCACCTCGTTCCTTTAATGTTCTAATGGCAGCGACAATCATATCACTGACTGGAGGATGAGATTTCGGTGCTTTTTTTGGTTTAACCGATGCTTTTGCTGCTTTTTTTGCTGGTGAAGCTACCTTTTCGGAAGCTGCAGATACTGTGACTGGAGCAGGTTCAGACATGATTACACTTTCTTTTTATATTGAGAATTGTTGTATGAATATGTTTTCGTTTTGAAAATAATATTTATTCATACGATCATGAAAGAATTGGGGTATGATTTCGATACGCGCATGGAAACGAAGCCTTCGTCCACATGTTTTTCTTTCAAACATTACGAACAAATTTTTGTATCGTTTATTGTGAATAAAAAATAATTCACTTTTCATCATTCTTTTTTTAAATTTTATGATTAGAAGTTATTCACAGATAAATAAGGTGTAAGAATTCATAAAAACTATTTTTTGATAAATTATTTTAATTAGAGCAGAATGAGTATAAACTTTGTAATTCCTTACCAAAACCATAATGCACATTATTTAAATGGTTTTGACTATGATGTTCTTTAAAAATTAAAAACTTAGTTATCACTTATCTACAGGTTATTTATTTGACTTTCAGAATAAAAACTTAAATAATTTTAATTTTGTGTCGAACTAAGTATTATTAAGAATTCTCCAAACCTCTATTCATGACTATTTTGAATTCATTTCAAGTTTTAACTTTGAAAGATCGTGTTAAGATGGTTAATTATAATTATTTATCAAAATGAAACATCAGAATATCATGCTGTAGGGATTTACCGATCATGTTTATAATTATAAATATGGTTAAAATGTATATAATTAATAAATATCATAGTTTCAAAATACATGATTCCCGTCCATAGGAAAAATTGTTTTGTAAGAAAATACGTCGCACTACAATTTTTGTATGAGTCGATTTTGTTGAGGAAATATTTCTATAGATTTTATTTATTTCATTTAAAAGATTTCAACAATAATTTAAGGAAGAAAATAAAACATTAGTTATGTGTTTAAGAAAATAAAACAATTATGTTTGAACTGAGTTTTTATTATTTTAAAAATGTGCTATTATTAACATTTATTTTAATGCTTTATTAGAGTTAAAAATGAAAGTCATGAATTTAAATAATATCTTTTCTTTAATTAATTTGGGGTCTTGAAAAAGACCATTTCGATTGTAGGGACGAGTTAATTATTTATTTCGATGACGTATACTTTGTGACTGCTTTTGTTCCTTCACTCACAGCGTGCTTAGCTAATTCACCAGGCAACAAAAGTCGAACAGCAGTTTGAATTTCGCGACTTGTTATTGTTGACCGTTTATTGTAGTGAGCAAGACGTGATGCTTCAGCAGCAATACGTTCGAAGATGTCATTGACAAAGCTGTTCATGATGCTCATGGCTTTTGATGAAATACCAGTGTCAGGATGAACTTGCTTCAACACTTTGAAGATATAGATAGCGTAAGATTCCTTGCGCTTACGTTTATGCTTCTTTCCATCCTTTGAGATATTCTTTTGTGCCTTGCCAGCTTTTTTTGCTGCTTTTCCACTAGTTTTTGGCGGTGCCATTTCTTCTTCCTTTTTTATTACGATGTGAACTGTTGAAAATTCAAAACGATACTGAAATTTCATACAAAAAACGTGTCTTATTTATACACATTTTTTCAAGCCCGTACTAAGCCCCGCCTCTCGTTTTGAAGAGAATATTTTCTCTCATTTCATATAAATATGAGCGCATTTTCATGTTCGCTTTCAGTATAAGTCGAATCTTCGTTCGTTTCACATCGCAAAGAAGAAAAAGTAAAAATAAAAAATCAGAATGTCAGGCCGTGGTAAAGGAGGGAAAGTTAAGTCAAAGGCAAAGTCTCGTTCTAACCGTGCTGGTTTGCAATTCCCAGTCGGACGTATTCATCGTTTGTTACGTAAAGGAAACTATGCTGAACGAGTTGGTGCTGGTGCTCCAGTATACTTAGCTGCTGTTATGGAATATTTGGCTGCAGAAGTTCTCGAGTTAGCTGGTAATGCTGCTCGTGACAACAAAAAGACCAGAATTATTCCACGTCATTTACAATTGGCCATCCGTAATGACGAAGAGTTAAATAAGCTTTTATCTGGTGTTACAATCGCTCAAGGTGGTGTTTTACCAAACATTCAAGCTGTTTTGTTGCCAAAGAAAACCGAAAAGAAGGCATAAATGATCTAAATCAACATCAACAATTTAAACCGTCCTTTTTAGGACGACAAATAATATTAATAAAAAGACATTTAATTATTCATTTTTAATAAAATTTTAGCCTTAATAAAAATAAATCCCTAATTTAGTTTGAATGATTCTGAAATTATTTAAATAAAAGCAAATGTGATTCATGTGTACAGATTTGTAAGCATTTTATCTACAAAATGTATTTAACTTTCTTTATTATGTTTTGTATTCCTTAGGTGCATTAACAAAAATAAAGCGATTGAGAATAAAACATTTAATTTATTAAACATCAAATTACATGAATTTATTTAAAACTAAAGGAATTGATTAAAAAAATATTAATTACAGTACATCATATATTTTTTATTGATAAATATTAGTTACAGTAGATTTAGTGCCACAGTGAATAATTATTTAATTTCTTTTTCGAATTATTTTGGGGTCTTGAAAAAGACCATTTTGAATGTTTGATGTTTTGTTAATTAATTTAACCTCCGAAACCATAAAGTGTGCGGCCTTGACGTTTCAATGCATAGACGACATCCATAGCAGTGACAGTCTTTCTCTTAGCATGTTCAGTGTATGTAACAGCATCACGAATTACATTTTCCAAGAAAACTTTTAAGACGCCTCGGGTTTCTTCATAAATTAACCCAGAAATACGTTTGACACCACCACGTCGAGCTAAACGACGAATTGCTGGTTTGGTGATGCCTTGGATGTTATCACGAAGAACTTTACGATGACGTTTAGCACCACCTTTTCCTAAACCTTTGCCTCCTTTTCCTCGACCAGTCATGTTTTCTTCTTTTTATTTGAGAGTTGCTTTCACGTTGAAGTTTAAAACTCGAATGAATATTTGCACTGAAAATGTGTTTCTTATATAGGTTTTTTTTCCTTCCCCTATTTCGTATAAAATCTTATTCTAACGAGTTTTAAGCTTTTTCCCGAACTTTTATTAAAAAAATTTATAAGAGTGATCATGAAGCATTTCATTTAATCAAACATATTTTTGAGAAAGTTTTAAAAAATTTCCACCACGTTTTTGTTAATTAACAAAAACGTTGAATTTCCCCTCTAAATTCTGTTAAAATGATGAATTTTTCAGGTTTTCACTATGAAAACTATTAATTTTAAATAAATTACGATTCAAACATAATAAAACAAATACCAACAATGCTAATGAAATTAATATTATTAAATGTTAGTAAGAATATCAAGCAATAATTAAGATTATTTCATAATGTTCTTCCCCTACCCATTATTTGTTTCCCGCCATTGAAATCATATATAAGGTCAACGTTTTACATACATTTTCATCAGTTCTCTTTTAAATTTCAAAGCGTACGCATCGTAAAGAAAGAAGAAAAGGAAATAATGGCTCGTACAAAGCAAACAGCCCGTAAATCTACTGGTGGAAAAGCACCAAGAAAACAATTGGCTACAAAAGCTGCTCGTAAATCAGCACCAGCAACTGGTGGTGTTAAGAAACCTCATCGTTATCGACCTGGTACAGTTGCCCTTCGTGAAATTCGTCGTTATCAGAAATCGACTGAATTGTTGATCCGCAAATTACCATTCCAACTTTTGGTTCGTGAAATCGCACAAGATTTTAAAACTGACTTGCGTTTCCAATCATCAGCTGTCATGGCTTTACAAGAAGCATCCGAAGCTTACCTTGTAGGATTATTCGAAGACACCAACTTGTGTGCTATCCATGCTAAGCGAGTCACCATCATGCCAAAAGATATTTAATTGGCACGTCGTATTCGTGGTGAACGCGCTTAATTTAATTAACCATCAAACAATATAAATGAACGGTCTTTTTCAAGACCATCAATTGATTTTTCATTGAGAAAGATATTTATTTATTAAATTCACTTCTTTACATAACAACTTTCTGACTAAATGTACTATAATTAATTTTTTTGATACCACCAATTCATCTTTATAAGAAAATTTGTTCACTAAAATTTTATTGTTTAAATTCATTACCATTGAGAAAATATTGGGATCGAAAAAAATATTTAATTAAACTATAATTTCGAATTTTCGTCCTTTTGTATGTAACACATTATTTCAATCATGCATGTTATGTGTTAGAAGAAAAAATGTAGTATAATTAACTTTTTTCATCAAATATTAGTTAAAGCATAATTTTGAATTTTCCTTTTCATAAATGTAACACATCATTTCAATCATGCATATAATGTGTTAGAAGAAGGAATGTAGTATAATTAACTTTTTTCATGAAATATTAGTTAAAGCATAATTTTGAATTCACCTTTTCATAAATGTAACACATCATTTAAAACATGCATACAATGTGTTGAAAGAAAAATGTAGTATAATTAAGTTTTTTCATGAGATCCTTGAAAATGTTTTCAAGACAATGCCCATATTTATAGATAACTTACGAAATAGAATATTTCCCATATCTTAAAAATAGCATGCAGTCTTCAGACAAAAAGTTTAATTAACTTAACTTTACATTTTCTGTGATCATTCATTGAAAAGAAAAGTGTTCAAACTTTGAACAGCAAGAGATTAAAATATGGAACCTATAAATGTGTAAAATTTTATTTTCAGACTGGTGAATATTATTAATTTCTTTTTTAAAATTTATATGGTAGTCCTGAAAAGGACTATTTCAATATGAGAGTTAAATAATAATTTGACTCTCGAAGTTTTATATTTAATGAAAAATAAAACTACTCGTGATGCTTACTTAGCGGCTTTCTTAGTAGCAGTTGGTTTCTTTGCAGCTGAAACTTTCTTCGTTGTTGCTTTTTTTGATGTTGCAACTTTTTTTGGAGCTGCTGCCTTCTTCGGTTTTGCTGCTGCTTTCGGCTTGGCTGACACATTCTTTGGTGGCTTAGCAACGGCTGGTTTCTTTGCAGATTTGGCCACTGGCTTCTTGATTTTTGTAGGACTGCCAGCTGCTTTTGGTTTTTTGGCCACAGACTTCTTAGCTAATGTCTTTTTCTTCTCGCCAGCAGCTTTTTTAGGTTTAACAGATTTTGGTTTCACTGTTTTTGGTTTTTTCGGTGCAGCTTCTTTCTTCGAAGCAGCAGGAAGTTTGAAAGATCCTGAAGCACCTTTTCCTTTCGTTTGAAGCAATTGACCTTTTGCGACAGCAGATTTTAAATATTTTTTAATGAAAGGAGCCAACTTCTCAACATCAACTTTATATTGAGCAGCCAAGTATTTTTTGATTGCTTGCAATGATGAGCCACCTCGTTCCTTTAATGTTCTAATGGCAGCGACAATCATATCACTGACTGGAGGATGAGATTTCGGTGCTTTTTTTGGTTTAACCGATGCTTTTGCTGCTTTCTTTGCTGGTGAAGCTACCTTTTCGGAAGCTGCAGATACTGTTACTGGAGCAGGTTCAGACATGATTACACTTTTCTTTTTATATTGAGAATTGTATGAATATGTTTTCGTTTTGAAAATAATATTTATGCATGCGATCATGAAAGAATTGGGGTATGATTTCGATACGCGCATGGAAACGAAGCCTTCGTCCACATGTTTTTCTTTCAAACATTACGAACAAATTTTTGTATCGTTTATTGTGAATAAAAAATAATTCACTTTGCATCATTCTTTTTTTAAATTTTATGATTAGAAGTTATTCACAGATAAATAAGGTGTAAGAATTCATAAAAACTATTTTTTGATAAATTATTTTAATTAGAGCAGAATGAGTATAAACTTTGTAATTCCTTACCAAAACCATAAAGCACATTATTTAAATGGTTTTGACTATGATGTTCTTTAAAAATTAAAAACTTAGTTAGCACTTATCTACAGGTTATTTATTTGACTTTCAGAATAAAAACTTAAATAATTTAAATTTTGTGTCGAAGTAAGTATTATTAAGAATTCTCCAAACCTCTATTCATGACTATTTTGAATTCATTTCAAGTTTTAACTTTGAAAGATCGTGTTAAGATGGTTAATTATAATTATTTATCAAAATGAAACATCAGAATATCATGCTGTAGGGATTTACCGATCATGTTTATAATTATAAATATGGTTAAAATGTATATAATTAATAAATATCATAGTTTCAAAATACATGATTCCCGTCCATAGGAAAAATTGTTTTGTAAGAAAATACGTCGCACTACAATTTTTGTATGAGTCGATTTTGTTGAAGAAATATTTCTATAGATTTTAATTATTTCATTTAAAAGATTTTGACAATAAAATCTAAACAAAACATTAGTTATGTATTTAAGGAAGAAAATAAAACATTTATGCTTGAATTGAGTTTTTATTATTTTAAAAATGTGCTATTATTAACATTTATTTTAATGCTTTATTAGAGTTAAAAATGAAAGTCATGAATTTAAATAATATCTTTTCTTTAATTAATTTGGGGTCTTGAAAAAGACCATTTCGATTGTAGGGACGAGTTAATTATTTATTTCGATGACGTATACTTTGTGACTGCTTTTGTACCTTCACTCACAGCGTGCTTAGCTAATTCACCAGGCAACAAAAGTCGAACAGCAGTTTGAATTTCGCGACTTGTTATTGTTGACCGTTTATTGTAGTGAGCAAGACGTGATGCTTCAGCAGCAATACGTTCGAAGATGTCATTGACAAAGCTGTTCATGATGCTCATGGCTTTTGATGAAATACCAGTGTCAGGATGAACTTGCTTCAACACTTTGAAGATATAGATAGCGTAAGATTCCTTGCGCTTACGTTTATGCTTCTTTCCATCCTTTGAGATATTCTTTTGTGCCTTGCCAGCTTTTTTTGCTGCTTTTCCACTAGTTTTTGGCGGTGCCATTTCTTCTTCCTTTTTTATTACGATGTGAACTGTTGAAAATTCAAAACGATACTGAAATTTCATACAAAAAACGTGTCTTATTTATACACATTTTTTCAAGCCCGTATCAAGCCCCGCCTCTCGTTTTGAAGAGATTATTTTCTCTCATTTCATATAAATATGAGCGCATTTTCATGTTCGCTTTCAGTATAAGTCGAATCTTCGTTCGTTTCACATCGCAAAGAAGAAAAAGTAAAAACAAAAATCAGAATGTCAGGCCGTGGTAAAGGAGGGAAAGTGAAGTCAAAGGCAAAATCTCGTTCTAACCGTGCTGGTTTGCAATTCCCAGTCGGGCGTATTCATCGTTTGTTACGTAAAGGAAACTATGCTGAACGAGTTGGTGCTGGTGCTCCAGTATACTTAGCTGCTGTTATGGAATATTTGGCTGCAGAAGTTCTCGAGTTAGCTGGTAATGCTGCTCGTGACAACAAAAAGACCAGAATTATTCCACGTCATTTACAATTGGCCATCCGTAATGACGAAGAGTTAAATAAGCTTTTATCTGGTGTTACAATCGCTCAAGGTGGTGTTTTACCAAACATTCAAGCTGTTTTGTTGCCAAAGAAAACCGAAAAGAAGGCATAAATGATCTAAATCAACATCAACAATTTAAACCGTCCTTTTTAGGACGACAAATAATATTAATAAAAAGACATTTAATTATTCATTTTTAATAAAATTTTAGCCTTAATAAAAATAAATCCCTAATTTAGTTTGAATGATTCTGAAATTATTTAAATAAAAGCAAATGTGATTCATGTGTACAGATTTGTAAGCATTTTATCTACAAAATGTATTTAACTTTCTTTATTATGTTTTGTATTCCTTAGGTGCATTAACAAAAATAAAGCGATTGAGAATAAAACATTTAATTTATTAAACATCAAATTACATGAATTTATTTAAAACTAAAGGAATTGATTAAAAAAATATTAATTACAGTACATCATATATTTTTTATTGATAAATATTAGTTACAGTAGATTTAATGTCAGTGAATAATTATTTAATTTCTTTTTCGAATTATTTTGGGGTCTTGAAAAAGACCATTTTGAATGTTTGATGTTTTGTTAATTAATTTAACCTCCGAAACCATAAAGTGTGCGGCCTTGACGTTTCAATGCATAGACGACATCCATAGCAGTGACAGTCTTTCTCTTAGCATGTTCAGTGTATGTAACAGCATCACGAATTACATTTTCCAAGAAAACTTTTAAGACGCCTCGGGTTTCTTCATAAATTAACCCAGAAATACGTTTGACACCACCACGTCGAGCTAAACGACGAATTGCTGGTTTTGTGATACCTTGGATGTTATCACGAAGAACTTTACGATGACGTTTAGCACCACCTTTTCCTAAACCTTTGCCTCCTTTTCCTCGACCAGTCATGTTTTCTTCTTTTTATTTGAGAGTTGCTTTCACGTTGAAGTTTAAAACTCGAATGAATATTTGCACTGAAAATGTGTTTCTTATATAGGTTTTTTTTCCTTCCCCTATTTCGTATAAAATCTTATTCTAACGAGTTTTAAGCTTTTTCCCGAACTTTTATTAAAAAAATTTATAAGAGTGATCATGAAGCATTTCATTTAATCAAACATATTTTTGAGAAAGTTTTAAAAAATTTCCACCACGTTTTTGTTAATTAACAAAAACGTTGAATTTCCCCTCTAAATTCTGTTAAAATGATGAATTTTTCAGGTTTTCACCATGAAAATGATTAGTTTTAGATAAATTAGGATTCAAACTTAATAAAACAAATACAAACAATGCTAATAAAATTAATATTATTAAATGTTAGTAAGAATATCAAGCAATAATTAAGATTATTTCATAATGTTCTTCCCCTACCCATTATTTGTTTCCCGCCATTGAAATCATATATAAGGTCAACGTTTTACATACATTTTCATCAGTTCTCTTTTAAATTTCAAAGCGTACGCATCGTAAAGAAAGAAGAAAAGGAAATAATGGCTCGTACAAAGCAAACAGCCCGTAAATCTACTGGTGGAAAAGCACCAAGAAAACAATTGGCTACAAAAGCTGCTCGTAAATCAGCACCAGCAACTGGTGGTGTTAAGAAACCTCATCGTTATCGACCTGGTACAGTTGCCCTTCGTGAAATTCGTCGTTATCAGAAATCGACTGAATTGTTGATCCGCAAATTACCATTCCAACGTTTGGTTCGTGAAATCGCACAAGATTTTAAAACTGACTTGCGTTTCCAATCATCAGCTGTCATGGCTTTACAAGAAGCATCCGAAGCTTACCTTGTAGGATTATTCGAAGACACCAACTTGTGTGCTATCCATGCTAAGCGAGTCACCATCATGCCAAAAGATATTCAATTGGCACGTCGTATTCGTGGTGAACGCGCTTAATTTAATTAACCATCAAACAACATAAATGAACGGTCTTTTTCAAGACCATCAATTAATTTTTCATTGAGAAAGATATTTATTTATTAAATTCACTTCAATACATCACAACTTTCTGACTAAATGTACTATAATTAATTTTCTTTTGATGCCACCATTTCATCTTTATAAGAAAATTTGCTCATTAAACTTTTATTGATTGTTTACATTCATTGCTATTGAGAAAATATTGTGACCGAAAGAAATATTTAATTATACTATAATTTAGAATTTTCGTCCTTTTGTATGTAACACATCATTTCAATCATGCAGATAATGTGTTAGAAGAAGGAATGTAGTATAATTAACTTTTTTCATGAAATATTAGTTAAAGCATAATTTTGAATTTTCCTTTTCATAAATGTAACACATCATTTCAATCATGCATATAATGTGTTAGAAGAAGGAATGTAGTATAATTAACTTTTTTCATGAAATATTAGTTAAAGCATAATTTTGAATTCACCTTTTCATAAATGTAACACATCATTTAAAACATGCATACAATGTGTTGAAAGAAAAATGTAGTATAATTAAGTTTTTTCATGAGATCCTTGAAAATGTTTTCAAGACAATGCCCATATTTATAGATAACTTACGAAATAGAATATTTCCCATATCTTAAAAATAGCATGCAGTCTTCAGACAAAAAGTTTAATTAACTTAACTTTACATTTTCTGTGATCATTCATTGAAAAGAAAAGTGTTCAAACTTTGAACAGCAAGAGATTAAAATATGGAACCTATAAATGTGTAAAATTTTATTTTCAGACTGGTGAATATTATTAATTTCTTTTTTAAAATTTATATGGTAGTCCTGAAAAGGACTATTTCAATATGAGAGTTAAATAATAATTTGACTCTCGAAGTTTTATATTTAATGAAAAATAAAACTACTCGTGATGCTTACTTAGCGGCTTTCTTAGTAGCAGTTGGTTTCTTTGCAGCTGAAACTTTCTTCGTTGTTGCTTTTTTTGATGTTGCAACTTTTTTTGGAGCTGCTGCCTTCTTCGGTTTTGCTGCTGCTTTCGGCTTTGCTGACACATTCTTTTGTGGCTTAGCAACNAAGCGTACGCATCGTAAAGAAAGAAGAAAAGGAAATAATGGCTCGTACAAAGCAAACAGCCCGTAAATCTACTGGTGGAAAAGCACCAAGAAAACAATTGGCTACAAAAGCTGCTCGTAAATCAGCACCAGCAACTGGTGGTGTTAAGAAACCTCATCGTTATCGACCTGGTACAGTTGCCCTTCGTGAAATTCGTCGTTATCAGAAATCGACTGAATTGTTGATCCGCAAATTACCATTCCAACGTTTGGTTCGTGAAATCGCACAAGATTTTAAAACTGACTTGCGTTTCCAATCATCAGCTGTCATGGCTTTACAAGAAGCATCCGAAGCTTACCTTGTAGGATTATTCGAAGACACCAACTTGTGTGCTATCCATGCTAAGCGAGTCACCATCATGCCAAAAGATATTCAATTGGCACGTCGTATTCGTGGTGAACGCGCTTAATTTAATTAACCATCAAACAACATAAATGAACGGTCTTTTTCAAGACCATCAATTAATTTTTCATTGAGAAAGATATTTATTTATTAAATTCACTTCTATACATAAAAACTTTCTGACTAAATGTACTATAATTAATTTTTTTTTGATACCACCAATTCATCTTTATAAGAAAATTTGTTCACTAAAATGTTATTTAATTATTCACATTCATTGCTATTGAGAAAACATTGGGACCGAAAGAAATATTTAATTATACTATAATTTAGAATTTTCGTCCTTTTGTATGTAACACAT